CCCCCCCCCCCCCCACTACCACCACAAAAAAACCAAAACTCTACCTAATCTCTTTCATAACTTGTTTATGCTTCAGTTACAGGTACCTCCATCCAGTTTAGTACATCAATCTTTTCCCAGTCTTCAGAGTTCAGTCCAATCAGAAAGCTCTCATGTCCCCCCAAATGTAGAGACTCAAGTATATTCTCAGAATGGAACATTCAAACAGCATAGTTTCTCCAGATCACCTACTGAGAAACATAATGGGTGTCATGATGCCACACCTCAGTCAATAACTCTTAATATAGGTGCAGGCAGCATAGAGCATTCTTCCCTTCCCGATGAGCCGCAATATGAGGATACTGATCAAAAAGGGTTTGGAGATCCTAACATTCTTGGTGGGTCCCCAGCCGAGGATGGTTATAATTGGAGAAAATATGGGCAGAAACAAGTGAAAGGAAGTGAGTATCCACGGAGTTACTACAAGTGCACCCATACAAACTGTCCAGTCAAGAAGAAAGTGGAGCAGTCTCAAGAGGGTCACATTACAGAGATAATCTACAAAGGAGCCCACAATCACCCAAAACCGAATAGAAGATCTGCACTTGGATCCTCAAACGGACTCAGCGACATGCAAATAGAAAATACAACAGAACAAACTAGAAGCGGAGGTAATTGTGATTTGCTTGGTTGGAGGAATGACAATCTTGAAGCAACAACATCTGCACCTTTGGGCTCAGAAAATTGCAACGGGTCTTCACTACAGGCCCTGAATGGCACCCAGTTTGAATCAGGTGATCCAGTAGACAAGTCTTCTACTTTTTCAAATGATGAAGATGAAGATGACCGTGGAACACATGGAAGTGTATCACTCGGTTATGATGGTGGCGAAGGGGATGAGTCTGATTCAAAAAGAAGGTTTCACATATCGTCTGCGAGATTTCTGACTTACATTCCTTACAAATACACTCCATAAGTTTTTTTTAACATGCATGTATTTTTAGGAAGGTTGAGACTTATGCATCTGACGTGACTGGGGCAACCAGAGCCATCAGAGAGCCCAGAGTGGTGGTACAGACTACCAGTGAGGTGGACATACTTGATGATGGGTATCGTTGGCGTAAGTACGGGCAAAAGGTTGTCAAGGGGAATCCAAATCCAAGGTTTGTGAAGTTCACCCACCCAACGCTATCATTTCTGGATTGAAACCCGAAAGTTAATCCCGGTCTCTGATGGCTGATTAATCATTTTCTTCCTTCTTCCCTCCCAATTTACAGGAGTTACTACAAGTGCACAAGTGCTGGTTGCACTGTCAGGAAACATGTGGAGAGGGCTTGTCATGATCTCAAGTCAGTGATAACCACCTACGAAGGGAAGCACAACCATGATGTTCCTGCGGCACGCAACAGCAGTCATGTTAATTCTGGAGTTTCAAACAGCATACCCTCACATGCAACTCCTCCCACCCAAGCCCATTTGCACAGGCCCACCCCCTCGCAACTCCATAACACCATGCCAAGGTTTGAAGTGCCCTTTTCGCTGGCTTCATTCGGGCTGCCCGGGAGGACACAACCAGGTGCTACCCCAGGTTTTGGTCTTGGGATAAACCCTCAAGGCTTAACCAATATGGTAATGGCCAGATTTGGAGCTAACCAAGGAAAATTTCTTGGTCTTCCTGTTCATCCATATCTTGGACAACAACATCCAGGGAATGAAATGAGCTTCATGCTCTCCAAGGGAGAGCCAAAGGTGGAGCCTGTCTCTGACCCCCACGTCTTGAACATCTCTAATAACTCTTCAGTTTCTCAACAAGTCATGAGTGGGTTATCCCTTGGACCTCATATGTAAGTTAACAATCTTTGGCTCTCAAATGAGAAGAAATGTTGAGTATATCAAATTGTGCTTTCCTATTTATTTGGTTATATAGAGCATTCTTTGTCCCTTTGATGTACCGACTTATTGAACCTTGTGTTTTCGCTTGCTTACTTTGTACACAATTTGTTATCAGAGCGCTGTGTGCGCGGGCCCTCACGTGACGGGTGGGGCCGTGGGGTGGTCGGGGCGGGGTCTTGTTCAATTGGGTATCACTGAAACTAAAAAGAAGTGAAGGGAAGTTTCTGGTTCTCAAACTAAGAAGTTGAACATTTGAAATTTTGATGTGAGAAGCCTGACATTTGAATTTTTGAATCGACAAATATCTTCCCCTTTTTTGTCCATTTTTTGTTCTTCTCATCACTTTCTATCCTATATACGTAGTATCACTCTGTCTCAATTTAATAATCTAAAAAAAAGTAAAATTGTCTGGTTAAAAGTGATAGGGAGGAAAAAAAGAAACTATGCGAGTCATAAAAAAAACTTAAAAGTGAAAAAAATAATTTTTTGGATATCCTAAAAAGAAAATTAAAACTATAAATTTGAGACGAAGTATTTACTAAATTTTGTCTTAGATTCTTTTTTATTTTTATTTTTTTAACATAAACTTCAATAATACAAATTGAGCTTCTTTTAATTTGCGTCATTACACAATATCCTTAAAATAGAGAAACAAAGAGTGTAATTTGTAGAATTTTACACTACATTTGTCCCAGTTCAGTTGCATTTTTTATGATTTTCTTAGTAGACATTTGTTAGGATATACTCCGTATTTATTATGATCTGGTATTCAGCTTGCTTAATACTACGTAGAGCGTAATTAGGTCAAGTCATGTGTCATCTATCATTATTTTAAATAGTGAATTTACATTTAATTAAGTTGTCAAATTCAGTTCAGTTACAAAATTTGATCGTTCTTATTTACATATACTAACAACATTTGATCATTTTTATTTAACATATTGAACTTGTAAGATTCATGATTATATAATTGTGTACTCCCTAAATGTTCTTTTAGTAAATCTAATAGGTGAATTTATGTTACTCTCTCCGTCCCAATTTTAGTTGAATGTTTACTATTCATAAAGTCAAAATTCAATTACTATCTTTGCTTATTTTCGTCATTCATTTGATAAAACAATACAGTCATGTCACTTCTTGTTTTGAACCTTTTGATTTAGTTTTTAAATATATAAATTTTATTTGTTAATTCTACCCCAATTTTAATATAAACTCATTTGAAAATAATTTCTGTCAAATATCGTAAACAACAATACGCAATTCTTTTTTAATTAAGTAATGGTCACACTTCATAAAATTCAGGAGAGCACTTTTTTTTTACTTTTGGTTATGTTTTCAACTTGATTTGTAGCCAAGGAAAGTGAGCGTCTTACTCTTCTAAATGAATAAATTCGCCTAAGTTGATAAATTAACTACCTTATATGCCTAGGATCTTAAGTTGTTATAAATACTACGTAATAATCAAATTTGAGACATTGTTGTTGTTGTCTTAAGATAAGACCAAAATACATTTTATTTTCCCACATACAGCAATAATTTTTTTTTCTTTCAAATATATCTTGACCAAAGAAGGTCCAGGGTGTAGGGAGTAATCGGAGTATTCATAAGGACTTGTTAGTACGCATGTGTTGTTTATAAGAGGAATAAGAATTAATAGTATTACCTTCTCATAGACAACACTAGTGATAGATTTGTGAATTTCACCTTAGGGTCCGTTTGGTACACGGAATTGAAGGAATTGGAAGTTGGAATTGTATGGAATTGATTTGGGTGGAATTAAATTCTCTAATTCCAGTTCATTTTTGGCGCTACCACTTCCAAATCTACATATTTTTGTGCTACCAAATAGTAGAATTGGAATTGTTGTCCCCAATTCCAATCCCATAATTTGAATTCTGTGTACCAAACGGAGCCTTAATTTATTTTTATACCAATGTGCCATATTTCC